AGCACTTAAAACAGCTACAAGGCCAACCAAAGTGCTGTACAGACAGAACAACAGACAACACACGAAGCAATATACAAAATGAAGTAGATCAAAATACAGACATAAAAACGATGCAGATAATAAATATGACGACAAACCAGTGTGGAGCGTACAGGTTCATAACATAGATCCTCTGGTGTTGAAAGCTACTGAATAGTAGTGAGTTTTTAAACGGGATTTGAAAACCGAGAGGGAGGGGGCCTGTCTGACAAGCAGAGGTAACTCGTTCCAAAGTAATGTGCTCTCTTTTGCCTGTACTGGTTAAAAATTGGGCTGCTGCATTCTGGACCAGTTGTAGTCGTAATATTGTTTCAATATTATCTTAAGTACCTGGTTCAAGAGCCAGAGCTTCCTGCAGGACTTTTTCACATCGCTCGTATTGTTTCATCTTCATCAGCAGCTCCGCCAGGTCATAACGCAGGAAGTTCTGTTGTTCTGTCTTCAGTGCTACCTCATAATAACTAATTGCCTGTTTGATCATAACAGACTTCCATTAGCCCAAATTTATTTCTCTGTAAATTGTTAGTGTACAGCGTAGGCCTACCTTGTTGAAGTTATGAGTCTTGACCAGGGCTTTCCCAATTTTACTGGCTAAAGCTCCATCTTTGGCGTTTTTCTCCAGAGCCTGTTCGTAAACCTCAATGGCTTTTTCTGGCTAAAGATAAACACACAGTCATGGTAAGTAGTGTCACAATTTATAGCTGGTTGCTGGTGTTTGTAAATCTTATAAACAGCTGGGAACATGTGGTAAACATTTAGGAAGCTGATTCATGCTTTAACATACAAGCTGCTCTGGAAAAACACATTTACTGAAGGTCAGGTTGAGGTTTGAGTGCTACTACCTTACCCACCGTCACAACCAAAATATGTCCACGTCAGAAGGCCTGTGTTACCACCCATAAATTTATGATGGTGACAGTATGTCCTGGCCTTTGATCTAATGATTTGTCTGAAACCAACTGTCCGTCACTTAGCTGCAAGTAAATGCGGTTTCCATTTTATGTTGTGTTTGTAGTGCTAAATCGAATACACGTCAGCATCATTTTGTGTGAAGTAAATGTCAGCGAAAAGCCTAAAACCTCCTAAGTGAGTTTCAAAAGCAATCATGGTTTCAGCTTTGTGTCAGTTTATAGTTCAGTTTATACACCTATGTTCACAACTGATAGGGTGCATAGGTCACACTTTTTCAACTAAATTTCATAAAGAAACATTTCTAAAACTCTGGCATTGCATGCACCAGTTTTAACCTGTAAAATAAGAAGTGGAGTCACAAACCAAGATATTTGTGAAGGACTCAGTACAGCAGATCAAACAATGCAAGTACTTTGTTCCATAAACACTACGTAAAAAAAACATATTGAAATTAGATTATGTATAGGTTCCACATTTGTCACATTATTAGATTAAATCTGTTTATTAATCATTTTACGTTGAGCTCTTTTTTTAAAAACGTGAAATATAAAACAGTTTTTGAAGAAAGTCAAAGTTTCTTTATTTGACATGTGGTGCATGTGGTGGAACGAAATTGTGTACACAGGAACCCATTTACATCCAACAAAAGTATAAATTGTAAAGAAAAACGGTAATAAGATATTGGATCTTATACAATTGTACATATAATGCAAAAGCTTTAAGAAAAGAGAGGAAGAGAAGAATAACAAAAGCTCAGATGTTGTGAGATAAAGCAAATATTCCATCAGACGGGAATGAATCCCACTCACCTCTTGAATGTTCATGTAGGCGTCACCGAGCAGGAGGTATGTGTGAGGGCTGGGCAGCTTCTCTACCATTTCTCTGTAGAAAAGACAATAAGTTATTCTATTTGTACTTATGAAGTTATTTCTCCACCATCCTCTGTGGGTTAATCATACTAACTCTGAACTACTAATAAGATGCATCAAAGTTTTTTGCTGCCAGTGTCTAAGATTTCATGTTTTTTCTAATAGACTTAATAATGTGAACACTGTTGTACTGGTGTACATTTATGGGTGATGCATCTTTAACTTTCAGACAGAAGCTGCTTATTTCAGACACTATCAGTCTGATGAACAGCTTTTATCTTAGATTGAGGCTGTTTTCCTTGCATTATTTGAGTTTACCTGTAACAGCTCGCGTACAGCAGTTTTTCTCGTCTGTGTTTCAGGTATATGTCTGCCATTTTCTCTTTGGCTTGGATGTAATAGGGCTGCTCGGGGGTAATGTTTCTCAGCAAACTCAGCGCCAGCTCCGTGTCCCCACGCAACAGAGCCAGGTCCGCATTAGCAATGGTGACACGTAGTTCTTCAGGCGTTCCAGAGAACTCATTGATGGCGTCCTGCATCACCTTTGCTGCTTGATGCTGAAAGATGTTCATCAAATTACAAAGTTCGCAAACAAAATACTATCCTGCTGTACTCATTTGACATATGAGAAATCGTGATTTTTACCTGTTCCCCGTTGAGCCACAGTGCCTCAGCTAACTCCAAGAAGACAGATACAGAATCAGCGGAGCTCAGTTCCATCTTCTTGTGCTTTGATTTGGAGGAACCTGCTCTACGGACACTTGAAAGACTCATGGCCATCTGCAATGTCTGAATAGCCTCAGCAAGCTCACCCTGTTTCTTCTTAGCTTGAGCTTTGATCAGGTGGTACAAAGGGTGATCTCGGATCTGGAATGGACACGTTATTAATATGAACAAGTTTATGCAGCTCTATCTGTCATATTGTTCAAGATTCAAAGTAACAACTAACATTCACGATAGCCTGCTGGACAGGGACTCTGATTTTTCACTGCTTCCAACTGGTTTCAATATATAATACTTCTTGTGTAATCTGTTTACATGACGATAAATATGTACTAAAGCATATAGGAATGGCAGATTAGTCCTTTGATAGCTTCTTGTGTTGATATCAATATTATCTGTCTTTAAAAGTATAAACAGTACATGCATTCAGTACAGAATGTAGAAAGGCTATATTGTAATAGTACAGTGACGCAAGGTGGAACATGTGCATTCTTACATGTACCACCTTCATGGCATCTCTTAAAGATTTCATTATTAAATTTCATCCATAAAAATTACTTTAGCTGCAAATTAATGTAGTTACCACACATGCACTTACCAATTCAAGATATTGTTGCTTTCTTATTTTTCAAATCTATGCTAAAAAGCTTTTTAGTGTCCTACATTCAAGTTATTTTACTGGATGAAACTTTCTTTTTTTAGTTGGCGTTACCTCAAAGTTGTGACTGAGACAGAGCTCGAGCGACTGATTGCACAGCGTCACGTTATCCTGCAGCAGATGGATCTGGGCCATTAACAGATGAGCCTCTGCATAAGATGGACACTGGTCCAGGCAGTGGTTCAGACTGTTCTGAGCAGCATCTATGTCACCTGAATGAACACAGCGGGAATGCAAGGTAAGGTACTACCTCCATAAATAAGTAAATGAATAAAGTAAGTTAAATAAACTAACTCACCAGATTGAAATCTGACTTGGGCGAGCAGAAAGACTGCTTGGAGGAGACCCGGCACAATTTTGACCACAGTGTCCAACAATGTGGCACAGTGCTGAGAAATAGGAGGCTGGCCAGGAGTAGGAGGCTAAAATAAACAAAACAAAATAATGCTTGTTAAAAATACTAATATTTTTGAATGTTTTTTATAACGATTATCATATGCCACCAAGAAAGTTAGGCAGTCACGTAATTGCCTGTTTATCTGTTAGCAAAATATCACATGAACCAATGAAAAGATAATGAAATTCTCAGAAAATAATCATTTTATGTATAGTACAACTACAACCAATTAACGTTTGAAGTCAGCCTGATTCAAGGTGGCTACCACCATTAGACAACCTTAGCAAGCACAGAAAGTGGCTGTTACTATAATAATAATAATAACAGAATAAGCCCTTTCCACCATTCTGAATGTCTTCTCAATCACTTTCCCACTGCGTCCACACTGTAGAAACATAAAATCAGAGGAAAATCAAAACAGGCTGGAAATCTTAACAGGCTACATAGACACCACTTTTTAAAAAGGTTTATTAATTGCAACTATCCTTGTCTAAAGTAGGGGGGGGATCGGATTTTTTTAGCGATTCTTTGAACAAACCTTTTTTCTTACTTCTTATTTAATTCTTTTCTGTCTTTTTTCCTGTATAATTAGAACATGCTACTGCCTACCCCAGGGATTAATAAAATATCCATCCATCCATCCATCCATCCATCCATCCATCCATCCATCCA